TTCTTATGAATTATTTTAGAAATATGACTGTATTTACTCAGTTATAAGATGAACCTGATTACAAGATGACCACCCAATACTTAGATTCTGTATATGGAAAATGTATACATCTGTTATAATTTTCCAGGCTTGGAATCTACTTATTGGAAGTTTGCCTTGATTATGTCCCTGTCTCACTGCTACAGCAGGGAAAATAAATCTGCAGGGCTCAGGGCTCTTGCCATCTGCCCCCCAATTTCTTTCCCCTGCCTTTATTGTCAGACCCAGCTTTCCTAAGCACATGGAAGTGAGGGGCAAATTTGAAAACAGTGAAGGATAAAGTGATTCATTTTATCTTTCTTGTTGAAGCTGACACAAGTTTCAGCACAGGTACTCTACAAGCATACTTTTAAGCAGCACTTTTTTACCTTCCTATATAGAATTCAAGCTATGTATGATAGTAGTCCAAAGCCAGAAAGGTTATGATTTACCATACAGTTCATTGGTCTGGGCCCTGGCCGAGTCAATAATGTTTAATGCCACCGTGATCCCATAGGTTAGCACTGCTCAGTATGTGTATGTACAGATACGCCCCTGCTCCCCCCACCCCTGCAAAGTATCCATGTGCTGATTAGCACCCCACTCATGACTTGAACCTGGTGTTGTCACAAGTCCTGGAATCCTCCAAAAAATTATATGCAGATGAGATGCAGGGCAACCTGGTTCAGCTCCAGCACATGGAGAATGGGGCCACACTAATCAAATGCAACAGGCTGCGATAGGGGCTGACAGAGGGATTCTGGGTGAACTATTTAGGACTTCATTTGTTTGCCAGACATTTAAGGCTGGTGAACAGGAATTATTGAAAATGGGAAAGAAAGGCACAGTTTAGCTGTGGGAGTGAGGAGGAAGTTGAAATGTGTGAAGTAAAATGGCTCATCATGACTTGGAAAAAGAGTCTGTGCTGAGGGAGACCAAGCACTACAATATATTTTATTCAGCTGGTTGGTACTAACCTGGTCATGTGGTAGGTTCCCATCTTTGTTTGCCCATGGTTTCCATTACTGAGCACATGCTGCTTTTGGCAGCAGTTTAGTGGTATGCAGTGTATTTAAAGTGGTTTCCTTTCAGTTATAAAACAAGGAGGGTTTTTTTCCCCCCATACTGATTGGGGTGGGGGTGGAAACCTCATCTTCTATTCAAGTTAATATGGTATCTTCTTTTTCCATGATATCCTACACAGTTGTACACCTCAAACATTTTTTTCAGAAGAAGGTAAAGTAGGAGAAGATTAACCAAACCAATAGATGGGATACCATATAATGCAGTGAATCTAAATCTTTTCTGTTGGTAATTCTTTTTATGCGAGTGATTTCAGGCAGACTAACTTAATTGAATGACTCAATCTATTCTGAAATTTTAAATTCTCTCCTGATTTTTGTGATGACATGGTCCTTGAATTTGAATTTCTACATACAACCATTTTCATTCTGTATAAGACTATTTAGAGCTGTGTGGAGGTTTCAGTTGGTTAGTTGGTTGGTTGGTTGTTAGGGGAGGGTTTTTTGTTTGTGTAAGTGTTTGTTTCCCTTAAACATTATGTTATATATAGCATGATCCATCCTATGTGGGGAAGGGCGGTTCATTACCGAAGCCATTCCTGTGGGGGGAAGAGTTGGAATGTACTTGTGTTTTCTATGTGTTTGTTGTGGAAATACATAAAACTTTTTTCTCTCTTTCTTTCCTCTCTTCATCATCTCATCTGTGTGGGTGAATGTTCCTGCAAACCCTTGGTGAACCTATAGAGACCTTTGGTATGCTCATTCTTTCAACAGAGCCCAGAGTCACAGACCATGTTACAAAACATTTGAAGATCAAAAGTCCAAACAAGTTGAATCATAACATTGAAAATGGCTAAAAAATGTGCACTTGAGGAAAACTTGAAAGTTGTCATTTGATTAGATCTGCCCCATTGCCTGGTCATTTTGGAGTGTCAAGCTGTGAAAAATGATGTTGCATAGTATGTTCCTGATTACAGTGGCCCATACCAACCAATTAACACGAACTTAGCTTGTGTGCGCCAAAAACAGTACCCAGAAAACATACCCAGTGGTACTGTTGGAGCAAATATTGATACTTAGAGACAGAATTTTCAAAAGGATCCAAGCAGCTTACGTGCCTACATCCCACTGTCAAAAATGATTTGGGTATAGAAATGCCTATGTCTTTAATACTGACAGTCATTAGGGCTTATGCTCCTTCAGTAATTTCTGAAAACGAGACTTAAGCTCTTGGCAGACATTACTTTTGCTGCCCAACATATGCGAGAATTACACAACAAATTATAACATGCCAGGTGGCCCCATGTTAACATTATTGTGGGATAGTTCTGTGCTGTCCCACAAAGACGTTCCTGTTCAGTGAGCAACTGATCTGCATTTTTATCCAGGGGTAAACTGGTTTAATGTCTTGTATGTTATGATTTGTTGTACAATACTTGCATATAATGTGCAACAAATGTAATGTCTGCCAGGGGCCTTGGGCTCCTACCTCACATAAGTGCTTTTGGAATTTTTGCCCTGGATCTGTTTTTGTTTTTTAAAAATTGCAACCAAGTATAATTCACACATCATCAAATGAGAAATGTGTTGAATATAATGATTTAAAGCTAAGTTCATCCAGAAAATGTATTGTTTAGATGGGAAGCACCATTGAGAAAAAGTCTCAAGACAGAGGAGGGGACAGAGTAAGTTAAGATAAAACAGGGTTTTATGTTGAAGGACAATTTTTTTCATGCTTCAAGCAATGTGAGCATCTCCAACTCAATTGCTGTTTCTTAATATTCAGCATGTTTTATCCTATAATGAGAACAATAGATAGGAAAGATTACATGTAAAATGTCCTGCTGCACTTGTTGTCTAAGTTCTCTGTGGAATTTAAAAATACAGGAATTTTAGAATATGTTTCTAAACAATCTGTCAGTTACCTGCAGGGAAATTTGACAAGACCAAAAATATTAGTGAAAGAATGGTGGTCCTTGGTACACTGAGAAAAATAAAATGAACAAAATTCCTTCAATGCTTTGATTCTGCTCCTACAACAAGCAGGTACAAAACACTGTTCTCAGCTGTATCTCTTTTAGCAAGGATCTTCTACCTATCCTTGAAAGTAATGCAATTTTTTTTCTCTTGTCCTTAACTTTAAAATATATCTTAATTCTTGGGTATGATTCAAATTTAGTTTATAAAAACTCTAAAAAAAAAAAAAAAAAAAAAAAAAA